TTCCATGTGGGTACCATTGTCATTGAAAGTTGAAAATGAAAGAAAATCCCAAATTTTGAGTTGTCCCCAGAAAAGAAATTAAAGAGAAATTTTCCAATGGGGACACTCAGGGGCGGACTGACAACTCATGGGGCCCCCTGGCAATAGGAGATCATGGGGCCCCTGTGTCCTCGCCCACTCCCAAAAAAGCCTATGAAAAAGCCAATGAAAGTTACCAGGGGCATCTCATGGGGCCCCCTACTGACCCCAGGCCCTCGGGCAGTGCCCGAGTGTTCAAATGGTCAGTCCGCCCCTGGGGACACTAGTTCTAATGATCTGGGGGTCCCCAAGGAATTCCCTTCATATATGGGGATTATATTCATTCCAAAATCAAATGTTAAAGTAATAACTTAGGGCAAAGGTTGTTTTTTTTTTTTAGTTTTTGATGGAGTGGAGATGGATTAGACCCCGTGTCCGTTTTTATTGTGGTCAGGGGGCACAGACCACAATAAAAATGCGAAATGCGTTTTTAATACAAAATATATGAACAATATTTTTAAAAATACATTTCAATTATACGGTATGTCTTTAAAAATACAAATCTACATTTTTGGAATGCATTTACAAATATATGTAAAAATATATATTAAAATGACTTTTTTATATGTTAAAAAAAATCTAAAGAATACATTTAAAAAAAATGTATTTTTTAAAAACATTTTTCATATATTTTGTAACATATAAAAACGCATTTCAGCATACAGTATATATATATATATATATATATATATATATATATATATATATATATATATATATATAAATATATTGAATACGGCCAAAATTGTAGCATTTCAAATATATGTCAATATATTTGGGAAGAATATTTTTTAAATATATTTCAAATATATTTTTTCTTCCATGTGGGTACCATTGTCATTGAAAGTGAAAATGAAAGAAAATCCCAAATTTTGAGTTGTCCCCAGAAAAGTAATTAAAGAGAAATGGATTAGACCCCGTGTCCATTTTTATTGTGGTCAGGGGGCACAGACCGCAATAAAAATGCAAAAATGCGTTTTTATTACAAAAATATATGAAAAATATTTTTTAAAAATACTTTTCAAATATACGGTATGTCTTTAAAAATACAAATGTACATTTTTGGAATTAATTTACAAATATATGTAAAAATATATATTAAAATTACTTTTTTATATGTTAAAAAAAATCTAAAGAATACATTTAAAAAAAATGTATTTTTAAAAAACATTTTTCATATATTTTGTAACATATAAAAACGCATTTCAGCATACAGTATATATATATATATATATATATATAGAAATATATTGAATATGGCCAAAATTGTAGCATTTCAAATATATGTCAATATATTTGGGAAGAATATTTTTTAAATATATTTCAAATATATTTTTCTTTCATGTGGGTACCATTGTCATTGAAAGTGAAAATGAAAGAAAATCCCAAATTTTGAGTTGTCCCCAGAAAAGTAAGAAGGGAAATCTTCCAATAGGGACACTGGTTCTGGTGACCTGGGGGGGTCCCCAAGGAACTCCATAAATTTACAGAGATTTCCTTGTATATATGTAACGTGTACATTGACAGCACTATATAAGTACTTGAAATAATAGTTCCAGGGATTTCACCACTTTGCAAGGATCCAATCCCACTTCCTGTTGTGGCTATGGGACAGGAAGTGAAGGGAAATCTCCCCAATGGGACGCAGGTGGCAAAAAATAAATGGTTATAACCTTCCATGAGAAAAAAGTTTTGCGTATTCTGTCATAAAGCTGACCATATTAGAGTGTGTTGGACCTCCTCGCTCTCAGTCATTTGGGGAGAATTGTAAACTTTCTATAATAAAACGGATACATTGAAACATCTATTTTATACAATGTTACACATATCATTAACAGCTTCAATGTGACAACAAATTCTATCCTTTTTTTCTGGCCTGATTGGCTCCTTCATGACCCCTCACATCCACATATCTGTACAGTTCAGCCTGTACCTAAGCCGGCCATAGCTGGTAGAATTTCAAACGAACGCTTGTATGAAAAATCTCATTGGTACATTCAGTAATGCCAACAGAGACTCGAATGTCATTTGATTTCAAAATTTCCTTTGCTTTTAAAGTAGAACCATTTTTGGGGTTAGAACCCCTGTCAGATTTCTTTCTTTTTTTGCTATCTGTGTCCCATTAGGGAGATTTCCCTTCACTTCCTGCCCCATAGCCAAAGAGGAAGTGAAAGGAAATCCCTGCAAATTAAGGGGAATTCCTTGGGGACCCCCCCCCCCCCCCCCAGGTCACCTGAACCAGTGTCTCTATTGGAAAAATTTCCTTTTTATTACTTTCCTGGGGACAACTCAAAATTTGGGATTTTCTTTCACTTTCAGCCCGGTGCGGTATATCGCATGTGATTCGAGCAGGAACCGCACAGCATTCCCTGCCAATCACATGCGATTTGTGTGCGGTGCGATCGGAGCCGTATATTTTGTATGGCTCTAATCGCACCGCACCAAAAACGTGCAGGACCCTTTTTTTTGGGTCTGCACTAGAATCGGATCGCATGGGTTTTCACACCTCTGCGATCCGATTCTGCACATCGCACCGCACTTTGCGGACCAATTTCGGGGTGTTGTTAACATACACACCCGCAGCGGTTCGCATGAACGGGGTGTGGTTCTGATGCAGTGCGGAAGTCGCACAGAAAACGCTGCAAATTCCGCACCGCATTAGCGGTTGATGATATGTGTAACATTGTATATAAAATAGATGTTTCAATGTATCCATTTTATAATAGAAAGTTTACAATTCTCCCCAACTGACCGAGAGGTAGGAGGTCCTACACCAGGGGTAGGCAACCTGCGGCTCTCTAGACCAGGGGTAGGCAACCTGCGGCTCTCTAGACCAGGGTAGGACCTCCGGGTAGGCGACCTGCGGCTCTCTAGACCAGGGGTAGGCGACCTGCGGCTCTCTAGACCAGGGGTAGGCGACCTGCGGCTCTCTAGACCAGGGGTAGGCGACCTCCGGCTCTCTAGACCAGGGGTAGGCGACCTCCGGCTCTCTAGACCAGGGGTAGGCGACCTGCGGCTCTCTAGACCAGACCCTGCGGCTCTCTAGACCAGGGGTAGGCGACCTGCGGCTCTCGAGCTGTTGAACTACATTGCCCATGAGGCATTGCAGAGATTACAAAACTGACAGTTACAGCTATGACTTGCAGAGGCATGATGGAACTTGTAGTCCTGCGGCTCTCAGGTTGCCTACCCCTGACCTACACAATCTAATATGGTCAGCTTTTTTTCTCATGGAAGGTTATAGCCCCTGTTAGTTTGTTTTTTGCCATCTGCGTCCCATTGGGGAGATTTCCTGTCCCATAGCCACAACAGGAAGTGAGAGGAAATCTCTGTAAATTTGTGTGAACCAGAGCTCAATGATAATGGTAAACAGGACAAATAGAGAGGGAAAATCTCCCTAACGGGGGCACAGACCACAATAAAAACTGACAGGGGGTCTAATCCATCTCCATTCCATCCAAAACTAAAAAAAAAAAAATCTTTTGCCCCAGTTATACTTAAACATTTGATTTTGGAATGAATGCACTTTCCAGAACGAAAACCGCATCCGTCCTCCTCTTTCAAATTTTCTCACCTTTATGGTCCAAAACGATCGTCGATTTGACCCCAATGACCCAGATAACCGAACGAACATTACAGAGATGAACATTTTCAAAAGGGAATTCTGCTGGTTCATAACAGTCCTGCACTGTAGAGCCAACCACACACATCACAACCTGATGGCACAATATTCTTTGGATCTACCAATGGCTACAGACTGAAATTTCCTGACTGGGTACACATTGGATTGTTTAGGTGGGCCCACAGATTGCACAATTCTGGCAACGCTCAAGGAGATTATACAGAAACATATGGCTTTCGATTTTGATTGGTCAGTTCCATCTTTAACAACATTACTATGCTACCAGAATCAGTTGAAGGACTTTTCGTTTCCTTTAGTTCCTTCTCATCATAACCTGTATCGTTGTTCGATCTTTAGCAACACATATAAACCACGAGCTGCTCTTAAACAGTCTTCTTGGATTGGTCCTCATATGTCGCAGTTGTGTCAAAAATTGGTAAAAATTACCAATAGAAATGTTACAGCATATGGCCCGGATAATGTGACCAATCAACTTTTTAAAGGCAAGTTTCTCAGGGACTGGTCCTACTTATCTAGACAGTAATATGTCCTTCTGAGACTGGTCCTCCTTATCTAGACGGTCATATGTCCTTCTGAGACTGGTCCTCCTTATCTAGACGGTAATATGTCCTTCTGAGACTGGTCCTCCTTATCTAGACGGTAATACCTCCTTCTGAGACTGGTCCTCCTCATCTAGACGGTAATAGGTCCTTCTGAGACTGGTCCTCCTCATCTAGACGGTAATACGTCCTTCTGAGACTGGTCCTCCTCATCAAGACAGTAATACGTCCTTCTGAGACTGGTCCTCCTCATCTAGACAGTAATATGTCTTTCTGAGACTGGTCCTCCTTATCTAGACAGTAATACGTCCTTCTGAGACTGGTCCTCCTTATCTAGACAGTCATACGTCCTGAGACTGGTCCTCCTCATCTAGACAGTCATACGTCCTTCTGAGACTGGTCCTCCTCATCTAGACAGTCATACGTCCTTCTGAGACTGGTCCTCCTCATCTAGACAGTCATACGTCCTTCTGAGACTGGTCCTCCTCATCTAGACAGTCATACATCCTTCTGAGACTGGTCCTCCTCATCTAGACAGTCATATGTCCTTCTGAGACTGGTCCTCCTCATCTAGACAGTCATACGTCCTTCTGAGGCCTCCAACAGCAAGGACGGTGCTTGAGACCTCACCCCAGCTTTCTCCAAATCACAAATATTTATTCATTTGAGTTTTAGATGTAGGAAAGACATAGAAGAGGAGGGAGCCCAACATCTGATTAGACCCCAGCATGCTCTCTTACCTGGGTACCTGTAGGCATCATGATGGGCGCTGGTGGCTGGGTAGGTGGGCGGCAGGGAGTGCGGTGGTCTAACGGCGTATGCTGGTCCGTATTGCTGGAATAAATCAGAGTGGTACATGGTCTTCGAAGGCCAGATATCAGAACATGAGACCTCACAGGGTTCCCAAGACCAGAGAAGTGCCAACTAAGATCCTTCCCAACTGGTGTGAGGACAACACATTGACTGATCCTTGAAGGTCCAGCCTACACCTTTTGATGTGGGACCCTCCTGCTAGGTGAGAGGGAATGCTGGGGGGAGGTCCCTTCACACATTAGGACTGAATTAAACTTTATTAAGGACTCTTTATGGCTGCCAAGGGCCTCAGTTTTGTCCAGTTGTCAGGAAATGCAGAAATCAGGGACAGAGATAGAGACAGGAGGGGGGCCGGGAACCCACCACCAGCCAAGTGCAATCGGAGTTGAATGAAGACTGTTATTCATGAAGAAGGTTTGTTACTTTTTAGTATTTAAAAATATACTTTTTCAAAGAAAAAAATTGAAAATAAATAAAAATGTTAGTTTTCTAACAGATCACTTCTTTATTTTCTTATTTTTGGTGCTATAATAGTTAGGGCCCGTTTGCGTTTGACACACATTTTACAACGCACTGAAACAAGTATGTCCAGGTCCTCCATCTTGGCTCTGCAATTTACATTCACATTTTTAAAAACACAGGCGTACCTCGATTTACAAATTTAATGCGTTCTCCGGGACGTCTCATATTGCGAAGTATTTGTAAGCCGAAATGCGGTTTCCCATAGGAATGCATTGAAAACCAACTAATCCGTTCTGGAGGCCAGAAAAAAAGTAAAAGGGGGGGGGGGGGGGGGGGGGAGTGGTGTGTAGGTTTTTTTTTTTTTTTCTTTGTTTGTTCAGTGTAAAAAATTTTTGATGTGGAAAAATACTGTTGTACAATGTGAAATAAGGTATGTTAATTAAAACTAATAAAAAATACAATAAAAAAAGAAAGAAAAAAGTAAAAAAAATAGTCTTTATAAAGTGCATTTTAAAGGCATAAATACTGTACAGGGACATGATTAAAAAGTAATTCATAAATGCATTGAAAAAATCCAATTTAATCCAATTAATTTTATCCGTTCCAGAGGTCAGAAAAAAGTACAGGGACATGATTAAAAAGTAATTCAAAAAAAAAGATTTTTTTATCTGTTCAAAACTCTTTATGAAGTGCACTTTAAAGGCATAAATACTGTACAGGGACATGATTAAAAAAAAAGTTGTAAATGCATTGAAAACCAATTAATCTGTTCCCAGGGGCGGACTGACAACTCATGGGGCTCCCGGGCAATAGGGGATCATGGGGCCCCTGTGTCCTTTCCCAAACTCAAAAAAGCCTATGAAAAAGGTACCAGGGGCATCTCATGGGGCCCCCTACTGACCCCGGGCCCTTGGGCAGTGTCAGAGTTTCCAAATGGTCAGTCCGCCCCTGTTCGTTCCGGAGGTCAGAAAAAAAGTAAAAAAAAAGTCTTTAATCTGTTCAAAACTCTTTATAAAAAGTGCACTTTAAAGGTATAAATACTGTACAGGGACATGATTAAAAAAAAATTTGTAAATGCATTGAAAACCAATTAATCCATTCCGGAGGTCAGAAAAAAAAGTCAAAAACAGTCTTATCTGTTCAAAATTCTTTATAAAGTACACTTTAAAGGTACGGGGCCGGCGCTATAAACCTCCCAGGCACAATGCATCCTGGGGAAACTTACTTCGTATTGCGAAAAAAAAAATTTGTAAACCGAGGCATTATTGTCAATTATTATTATACAGGACTTATATAGCGCCGATAGTTTGCTCAGCACTTTACATTATGGAGGGAGACAATACATCCACAATACAGTTCAATACAAGAGGGATAGGAGGGCCCTGATCCTGGGAGCTTACAATCAATGGATTTGCATTCGATAACCGAGGCGTTCCTAAACCGAGGTACACCTGTACATTATTTGCTTTCTTTTGCATTTTAGTGCATTGGGAGGCCCATAGATCCCAACGACAACACATCAAAGCGCGTCCAACATGCATTTTAATGCGTTGGAAACAAGTGTTAACCAGGCTTGGCCAATGGTGATTAACCACTTGAAGACCCGGCCCTTTTATGGCACTTTTTGTTTACTTTTAAAAATCAGACATTTTTGCTAGAAAATTACTTAGAACCCCCAAATATATATATTTTTAGCAGAGGCCCCAGAGAATAAAATGGTGGGTTCTGCAAGTTTTTATGTCACACGGTATTTGCGCAGCTTTTTTTCTAATGCAATTTTTCGGGAAAAAAAAAATACACTTTCTTGGATTTTAATGCATTCAGACACAATATAATACCCAATTTTTTTGGTAAAATATAAAATCGGGTGCTGCGCCAAGTAAATAGAGTACCATTCGTGTCACGCTTTAAAATTGCGGACGCTTGTGGAATGGCACCAAACTACGGTATTTAAAAATCTCCATAGGGGGCGCTTTATAAACCTTTACAGGTTACTAGTTTAGAGTTACGCAGGAGGTCTGGTACAGGGGCGGACTGACCACTCGGAAACTCAGGCACTGCCCGAGGGCCCCGGGTCAGTAGGGGGCCCCATGGGATGCCCCTGGTACCTTTCGTAGGCTTTTTTGGGTGTGGTTTGAGTGTGGGGGCGAGGACACAGGGGCCCCATGATCCCCTATTGCTCGGGGGCCCCATGAGTTGTCAGTCCGCCCCTGGTCTGGTGCTAGAATTGTTGCTCTCGCTCTGACACTCGCGGCAATACCTGACACGTGTAGTGCGATCGCCATTTACGTATGCGCGCAAGACCAAGGGGGGGTGGGGGCATTTAAATTTTTTTTTTCAATTATTATTTATTTATTTTATTCCTTTTTTACACTGTTTCTTAAAAAAATAAAATAAAATAAAAAAATAATCACTTTTATTGCTGTCACAAGGAAGGTAAACATCCCCTGTGACAGCAATAGGCAGTGACAGGTACTCTTTGTGGAGAGATCTGGGGTCTATCTTTTGGTGATTGCAATCCGGTCGCCGACTGGAAAAAATGAAATCCATAGCGTACGTCAGCGGGTCCTCATGTGTTCTTAAAGGGGAATTCCAGCCTAAATGTAACAAAGATGTATATAGAAATGTTTACCAAATAAATCCGATTTTCAAGGAGTGGGCAGGAGGGGCGGCTGCCCTGGGCACTGTGGTATCATGTGGACTGGGGGTGCACCATAAGGAGATAGGGGTGGGGGGAATTGTTTGTGAGGGGAATTGCGGAACAGAAGGGGGTGAATTGTTCTAGGAGGGGGGATATGGGGAACAGAAGGGGGTAATTGTTCTAGGAGGGGGAATTCGGAGAACAGAAGGGGGTAATTGTTCTAGGAGGGGGGATTCGGGGAACAGAAGGGGGTAATTGTTCTAGGAGGGGGAATTCGGAGAACAGAAGGGGGTAGTTGTTCTAGGAGGGGGAATTCAGGGAACAGGAGGGGGTAATTGTTCTAGGAGGGGGAATATGGGAACAGAAGGGGGTAATTGTTCTAGGAGGGGGGAATTCGGAGAAACAGAAGGGGGTAATTGTTCTAGGAGGGGGGATTCGGGGAACAGAAGGGGGTAATTGTTCTAGGAGGGGGGATTCGGGGAACAGAAGGGGGTAATTGTTCTAGGAGGGGGAATTTGGGGAACAGAAGGGGGTAATTATTCTAGGAGGGGGGATTCAGGGACTGAAGGGGGTAATTGTTCTAGTGAGGGGGGATTCGGGGAACAGAAGGGGGTAATTGTTTGTGAGGGGGGATTCGGGGAACAGAAGGGGGTAATTGTTGTAGGAGGGGAAATTCGGGGAACAGAAGGGGGTAATGTTCTAGGAGGGGGAATTCGGGGGAACAGAAGGGGGTAATTGTTCTAGGAGGGGGAATTCGGGGAACAGAAGGGGGTAATTGTTCTAGGAGGGGGAATTCGGGGAACAGAAGGGGGTAATTGTTCTAGGAGGGGGAATTCGGGGAACAGAAGGGGGTAATTGTTCTAGGGGGGAATTCGGGGAACAGAAGGGGGTAATTGTTCTAGGAGGGGGAATTCGGGGAACAGAAGGGGGTAATTGTTCTAGGAGAGGGAATTTGGGGAACAGAAGGGGGTAATTGTTTGTGAGGGGAAATTCGGGGAATAGAAGGGGGTAATTGTTCTAGGAGGGGGAATTTCGGGGAACAGAAGGGGGTAATTATTCTAGGAGGGGGAATTCGGGGGCAGGGGTACTATGAGTGGTGATTTGGGGGTAGGGCAGGGGACAGGAGGGTAGGTGAGAGGAGGGTAGGGGAGAGGAGAGGAGCTCCCTTCAGAACTTTGTGGTTCATTGCAGTGTGCCAGGCGTGTATATGAACATGCGTTGGATTTTGAATGGGCTGCTAACATGATGCAACCGACCCCGAAAAGCGACATGACCCTTCTTGTAGCACACTGCGTTGCATGGTGTGTGCGCTGCAGCAAGATTGCATTGCTTGCTGTTGGAGCTGTGCTGGGGAATGAAGAGCGCATGCATTGCTTTTACCGCCCCCCCCCCAACCACCACTGTACTTATGCCATGACTGCAAAGTTTGCCTTGAGACCGTGGCAAAAACTGAACCTCTATCACATTGAGCAGTCAGTAATGCCACCAAACCCGACCCATTCAAGTTAATGGGGCTGCGGCACAACCAGCCTACAACTGCATGCAATGCACATGGTTGTGGTACGATGATTCAGCCTTTTAGGGGTTAAAACAGGGCGTGAAGGTAAAATATCGCCTCCCAGCCACCTCCTGCCTGCCCTCTGAAAAGCGATCCACTAAAGATTTGCAAGGGCTGTCGCACGTCAGTACAATGCGTTTGACTGAACAGCATCGCCATGCGTTAGACTGAATCCCAATCACTAAAATCTCATATGTACTCTCACAGGTCCATTTCATGTCAAAAGATGAAGATCCTGCCATGAATTCCTTGTTTTGACACTTCCTGTTACGGAAGGATTCCCCTCTGTCCCTGGTTACCAGTTGTACCGCAGCGTTGTCACCCGGTCACATGGACTGCTGGTGGAGACTACAGGCGGCAATGCCGCTGGTCCAGAAGGAGGTG